CGTGGCGCGATTTACACTTCCTCTCCCTCACTTAAAGAGTTAATATACACAGATAGCGATCGCGAAGTAATTAGCGAAGGCTCGAGCTACGTTGGATCGATTTCATGCGCACCACTGTCACCGTTTTTTACTCATTTACTACAAGTAAATATCTTTGTTCGCTGTATCAATCTTCGCCGAAGCGAATCGATGCGTTTTCGCGCAATCCGACGCATAATTATTCCGCTCGCGTGCGCGTTTCTTCGGCGCACTTTTTCCACCGGAGCTCGCTTATTAATAACGGTCCGTGCATTTCGCCACCACGAATCTTAAGGCGTTAAATCCGGCGTAGGCGGTGTGTCAAGACGATATTTCAAGATCAGCGATCCGCTGACGGACGTACTAAACTAAAAAGCATCGACCTTGGGCGTCGGCACCGACATAGCGCGCAGCTAAGGATAAGCAGGGAAACTGACAATGGATTATAAAAATAAATTATAAAGAGAATATAAAGTTGAAAACGAAGGAAACTGTTGAAGAATTGCGGCGTGCAAGGTCGAAACGCATTTATTTTGTCGTACTGATTTGCGGTATCGGATTAACTCCCACTCGTAAACAATTTTTTAATGATTTTTTTCGGCACACTTACCCGCCAATTATTCCAATTTATTCCGTCTTAAAATTGTACTTACTTAAAATTCCTCGTTCATTATGTCGCGCAACCCAATCTTCGATGTTATTTGATGACGGACATATCAGCAACGAGTTGCAACACGCGCGCGAGTGGCCGCGAGCCAGCAGTGCTCAAGGTGCTAACAAGCCTATGAAACGACGCTCTCGTCCATCGATACCCGCTCGTGGAATTTGCTAATTGAAAAGTTTAAGGTGCGTAAGCTGGAGTGTTACGAAACACGCGCGCCCGTGGAAGCTCGAAGGAACAAGTCATTTGCATAACGGCAATGTTATTAATGTACGTCGCGGGAAAATCGCGTATGCATTTCCGTTCCTTTTATAACAGTAGATGATTGCGGTGGTGCACGGGAGGCGTTTTTTTTCCTCCAGGAAACGCGAAGGGTCTCGTGAGAAAAACGGAGTATGTACGTTTGCTCGGAGCAAATCGCAATTTATAACTGCAACGTACACGCGTTCTGGCAGTCATGATTTCCTTCGTACGATAAATACTATTTGTCAAACCGATTTTTTTGTTTCAAACAGGTTTCACTCAACACCTGTTTGAAATTTTGACGACATGGTGCAATATTTAATAAATACAAAACATTTCTTACATCACTCTTTATGCTCAGAACAAGTTTTTCAACACGTAATTGTGTTAATTTATTGTATCGATAAAGTAAAAATAATTTATGTAATTCTGATTTGTCGATGAAAACAAAGTCGGGCACCACATAGTAGTTTAATAGAGTCTTAACTCAAGCCAGCTTTCCACGAAGGATATCTTGTCTACTTAACGTGGTGAGAACTTTGTTACTTCGTGAAACAGCTAGCGATATTCGACGGATACCGTGTGGTTTCTGCATGCGTTGTTTCGGAAGCAAACATTGTGCGAGAGAGAAGCCGTTTAGTGATATCAGAAGTACACGGATGTCGGAAACCCGCATAGAAACAACTCGCTGTGTGCACATAGTTTCCTTTGTTCGAGCTATACGGAAATTCTAGAACTACTACGTATGCTTTCTTGCTAATATCGGTTAACTTCCAAAGAAAATACGTGAAATCCCTACTTTAATCATTAAAATATTTAAAGTGGATATTTAAAATACATTCTACTTGTTTCTATACAGCTTTCTTTGTTTGCTAGACTCGCTAAGCAGAGAGTTTGCCTCAGAATTACAGAATTTTCTCGATATTATACCGTCAAATTCATAAAAAAGGAAGAAAGAGTCTGAAACTTAAATGATCAAGATTTTCAAAGCAGAAATTTGCAAAGGTTATCGCAAAGGAAAGATTAGCTTCAGCTTTATTAAAGATGACACAGAAACTGTAATAATAACAATAATGCTAAAAGATAATTTTAAATAGTTCTAATACTCTTGCTGCAATTGCTTTGATATGCAATGATGTTTGATCAGAATGAATAGGTCGCTCTAACACACGTGCATTTAAGCTTTGTAAAATATATCATTTGAATGACACATCGGCCTTACAGGCGGATCGGAAATGGATGCTTCAATTAGTCGTGTATAATTATCATAATGGAATAATCGTCTGATAGCCTTGTAACATTGTGAAATGGTTTTTTTTCGAAAACAGCTCACTATCACATGCGATTATTGCGTCGCTGTCATACCATATCGATGTTAATAATGATATTGAGACAAAGAGATGAAAGCAAATTTAGTACCAAGCAGTGTCATGTGTTAATACATTGGTTATCACTAGCAATAGCAACATCAGCTGCGAATGTTTGGCTGACAATAATTTATCTTCGCGACCGTCGAAAATGCTTGTTGATAGCAGCGGTTGATAGCAACGGTATTATTTATGTTAAAATTATTTATATGCTTAATAAGAAAATTTTCATTCTTTTAAAAGTAATACTTTCAATATTTTACAGCGATGTTTAATATTGTTCATAATTCCGAAAAAAACGGTAAATGCTGATGAAATGGGATATTTTGCATTCGACCGAATGAGGAAATAAGATTATTCGATGCATATCGGGGCGACACTCCAATTTCTCGAGAGGCCTTATAAATTTCCAACCGGTTTATTCGTGCATATATAAAGCTCGTTTTGGCATTCGTGATGGAAGAGACGGCATTCTTCTTTTTGTCACCGACGACATGAATTTGAAGGCAGTAAACACACATCCCGGGGATCCCGGAAAAGATCCGTATCGTAAATTTTTTTGCTCCCCCGACGTAATACGCGGAAGCAATGAGAACGCGACGGCAATACGACGTAATAAAAATAAATAAGGGGTTCGTGGAAAAAAAGACGATTGTTTTCGCGACAGTAGACGGTGAATTAATTAATTTTAATTACGAGAACGTCGCGTAGATACGTGAAGAAGCGCGATGAGAAGCGACACAAAAGATGCGTAAACTTGTCGTATGCAGAAGTCCGATCGATGTTTTGTCGATGAGATTGATACAAAAAAAGCCATGCAATGCAAAGATGCATCTGCGTATATGATCGATGATATTTTATGATCCTTCTCGCGTCTGTGGCAAGGATTAAGGTCACTTTTACATTGCAAATCTTGACACTGCGTCTGCTTCTCACGCCACGTGTACTTTCTATAAATATTTTTCTGATTCTATTTTATTTCCTCTTTCTCTTTTTTTCATCTTCTTTTTCTTCTTTCTTTATTTTTCTTTTTTTCTCTTTTTTTTCTTACGAATTTCTTGACTAGATAATCGGGTCACGTATAATCTCGCGAGATTGTATTGCAATTAGATCGTCAATGCTTTATCCGAGGTCGATAAGATATAATATTGGCTCGGATGATTGTACGATATTCGCTTGTACTATATTACCGCTAAATATAAGTGCTCCCCCTCTCCGGTTTCTTCTAAGTGATTTTAAACATTTCGTCAATGGTGAGGTCTCTCAGTCCTACATTGTTTGTGCATGAGGTCAGTCAGCTTTGTGTGAACCATTCAAAACACTTGTCACCTTTAACCGCCTTTCTCTCGTGTTTGATAACTTGAGGCGTCAATTATCTACGTAAGTGATATTAATTTTTTATTATCGACCAATGCAACTTTTGCGTTCGCGAAAAGTTTATTCGTGGTTTTCGTACTTAGATCAGTGGATCATGTTTAGATCGGTTGCTATAGAATGTGGTGCGATTACCAGAGAGTCTTTTGTAAATTTCAAGCGTAAAAACAAACGTTCTTTTAAAGGAATTTTGTTTACGAATGAATTTTGATTCACGGAGTGAGTAAAAAGTATCTCAGGCAACTCTTTGCGCAATAAAAGCGGCGCGGATCGGCAGGAGCCATTCGTTTACGTGAAATCGCCCTTCTTTTATAAGAAGTTTATTTTCTCAAATAAATTTCATCTTCCGGTGTAGAGCGGGGCATGCATATAGACAAGCAGCTAACTCACTTTGGTCGCGTACTCTTTTTAGTATGTGTAAAAATTCTCATGCGAATCGAACGAGGGAGATCGCCGCACTTGTAACTTTCGCAATATACTGTTTCCTGATGTCCTACAAGTTTTATTAAAACAAACGTTATTTTTATTTCTACTCGAAACTGTAATTCTGATGCAGAATTTCGTACAATTTTTCACACTGAATTTCCCCAGTGCCACATGCGATTTTTCCGAATGTTTTTTCACGTTATTGAGTTTTCTATTTTTACACTACTTTACCTTGAACGATACGCCACGCATAAATTTTATTGATGGAGTCAATTCACGATAATGAGACGCCAGAATTAATCAATCCTTACGAATCGATCGCGCAGCAGAGTCACAAGACGAGACGGCATTTGGAGAGTTCCGAGAAGAGTTCCGATGAAATATATGTCTCTCGATAAAGTGTCATTTATCACTGTAGCTGCACTTTTAGAAAGAGCAATGCTTTTTCGATTCGCGAATATGTCTCTGCAAACATATTACCGTTGAAAAAATAGAGCTGATATATATTCTTAAAGAGGACGTGTGATGATTTCTAAACACGACAGATATGCGAAATAAATTGCGAAACAGATAGCAAAATATAAATTATTCTTAAAATATTTCTTAAACAGATTTCAAAATATAAAATATTCTCATTCAATCCAAATTTATATTTTATGACTTTTCTACCTTTTTTATTTCTTAAGATTTAATTTCTGACAGCGATAGTTAATTTAGATTTTATTGTTATTTAAATCTAAATACTGGCATTTTGTGGTAACAATGAAATATAAAAGATCTTTATACAAAATTTCTTTTAAGTTTGGTGGTATCCGGCGTTGCGTAGTCAAGATAAGTGTGGTACTTGAGAAGTATTGTACTTTTTATGCGAAAACAGAAAGAATAATGCTTCCGGTGTCTTTTATTTTCAGAGTTTTGAAGAATACGGAGAACTGATGCGAGGGAAATACTAGTAATCGGCGTCATGCATTGGTCTTGTACTGTTGAAATCATCGTCGGTTGATTTTCGCGCATCTGGTGAGTTATTATTCTCATTTTACTTTTATTCACTTCTCTTGTTAACTCACTTTTGAATAATCTTTACATGTACAAATTTTCGGGATATTTTCTTTCGCGTCTGATAAATCGTTCCCTGAATTATAGTCGTGCATTTTTTATCCCAGACTTCTTGACGCAATCGTGACATAAGAATACGAAACGCTTTTAACATGTTCGATGCCGTGTTTTTATTATTAACGAAAATGCGAAAGTTTTTAATTCTGCAATATTTTATTTGAAATTTATTTGATAAAGAGAGCAAATTTTGAAGTCTATCTATCAATCATTATTGTTCCGTTGCGATAAGAGTGGGAGAGTACTGTTGACGCGCGTCGAAAATGCGGAATTGAATTTTATCAGAGCCGATGGAGGCGTACACCGGTATCGCGAACGTCGCGAATGTCGCGAATTTCCCGATATATATTTCCGTGCACCCGCATCACACGTGGCACATCGCACGGCCGACATATCGCGGTTCACGTTAGTGACATGCTCCACGGAATGACAATGACATCTGCTTCGGATTCGCACTGCCGACGGTCCTGTTATCACGCGTATATAATCGCGAATAATGAGCGGCTCATACTGTGTTTAGATATACAGGGGTTATTCTTAGCGAGATATACAATGGTACACATTGTCGTTGGCATGAAAAAAGGATTTCGTGCTTTATCGAGTCATGCGCGGCGAAAATAACGCCCGTTATGAAATGTGCCGCGTTACGCAGCGAATTCGCATAACCGCGTGTGTCAGCCTTTTATAGTAACACCTTTATTCTCATGCCGAATGGGTCGTGCCGCACATCGACGACCATAACTTGCCTTCCGGTTGAAATATTCTGTTTGTTGTAGAAGAATTTAGTCCTGTTATATAACTGTCAAATTAAATATAAATAAATCAAATATGACTTAAAAATTGTGTCAAGTTAGAATAATGTAAAATTTAAATTAAGAAGATTATGGAAATGAAGAAAATATTGCGTTACATATTTATGAAATATAATTTCTGTAAGATATGAAAAAAATTTTTTTTAATTCAAACAGTTAGTAGTGAATTTATTCATTAGAAACATTAGCAATTTGAAAGTTTTAAAAATCAAGGGATAATATATTTGCTTTACTGGATATAACTGGATATTTCGTATCATGAAAATGTGAAGCGATGAAAGTATAGCATTACTTTCCAGTTTCCTCATAATATCTTACATTTATGAGATCTAAAATTTTTATTGCGAGACACATGGCAACGATTTCCCTCGTGATATTTGATACCGGTTATAAAAAGTCGAGACGAAGCGTCCTCCTCGAGGAATCAAACCTGAAAGATATCATGGAATAAAACCGAGTTTAAAGATCGGATTATGCATTTATTGCGCAATGACAACGAGCGTCACATACGAAATGTTTTCTTCGGCTCAGCTGTTGTTATCGCTCTCCGTCTATAAAATTGTGGCGTTGTTTATTTGTTATTATTGTTGGCATATTCGCGTTGCCACAAGATCATGACACGGGTGATAACACGATATTTGGTATGACCTGCCGATAATGAATCCTTCGGTTTTCGGCTCGTTTTGCGCCGCACGATTGGCTCTTAAGTGACACTTTCCACCGAGAGTTTCACTAAACGGAAATAAACGTCTGTCCATGCATACATATCGTGCAAATTGATGTTTCGAGATGTTCTCTCACCGACCGAATCTTGAACCGCTGCCAGATCCCGTTGCGATCGAGCGTAAGGTCGATTGCTGCATGCCGGAGTGATGGATCGTTTTTGCCGGCTTTTCTCTTGTCTTTTTGCTGTTCTTTGTCGTGAAATAAAAAATTGTACGCGGAATTAAAGTGTTAAATTTTATACAAGCTATTATACAGATTTTTATCTTCTCATTATTCTTCACCGCGATAAAAGAACAATGAATACAAAATTGAAATTAACATGCAAATTTCATAGAAGTCAATTTTAAAAGTATATTCTTGATGATATTACGTTCAACAAAAATCATGTCGATTAAATAGGCGCTCTTCAAAAGTGCCAAACACTTTGCACGGATTGAGATAAGTGGAAAGATGCACGTGATAACGATTATTGACTTAATCGCGGTAGATCATCGAAGTAACAGCGGCATGAAAGCACGAAAAAAGGAGTGGGCTGCGATAACATCAATCGAAAAACATTAGTTGACGTCAATTGACGTGGTTCTTTATTTTCGAAACATGCTACATATCTTTACACTCTTTGCTTCGAGCACCTCCGGTGTCACGACGGCGGACAAAAGCGCGGTCTCACTGCTGGAAGTTATATTTACATGATATTGCGTCTTACTTTTATGTTTTATTTAAAAAGAAAACAAATGCAAGTATGAGAAAGAGAGAGAAAGAGAAAGAGGAAGGGAGGGAGGAAGAGAAAGAGAGAAAGAGATAACGAATTGTAAGAAACATATGCCACTTTATATTTAGATGTTTTCATTACAGTAATTTTAATCCTTATCTGTGAATCGCCTCTCCTTTATTATTTAAATTGAACATAGTTGTTTAAAGAGTTATTTATATACGAATAATAATAATGTGTGTGCGGTTCGCGGACTATATTTCTTCGCGTAAAATGCTTAAGACACGCGTACGTTTCTCATTCTCTTTTAAATTCAAATCAGAGTGTAATTTCGGTTAATTTCGTAAATATACACCCGTGCGTGAATAATTAGGCGATACGCCTGTGTGTTTGCGCACCATATAGATATTTTTATAGCACATGCGTACGGAGAAATCCGTCTAAAAATATATGTCGACGGGAACTCCTTAGCGTCGTACATTGAGGTCGTGCCATTTTACCGCGATGTATAAATTGACCCATTTCGAAGCCGGAATTCTGCATGTAATCTTCTAGCGTTGTCTAGGAAATAATTCGAGCTAATTGAGTTCATAGTCTAACATAATTTTCTGAAAACTTGACAACAAAATGTCGAGCAAATTAATTCCAATTTAATTTCTGTCTACTACGTTAAACTAAAATTAATCTTAAATTATGTCAAAAAACATAGAAAAGTTGATTTTAATTTTAGAGTTAATTGATTTGATCTTTTAATATGCGAAGTCGGTCAGCTGAAAAGAAGTATGATTCTGATGAAAACGCATTACGAAAACGTGTTGCAGGCCCGTAATACACTTATTATTTATGAATGGATGGAGCTGCGACGGGGATTGTTGGAGGAGGACCGGTTACGGATCTGGGAGGTCTGGAAAGATGGTGGAACAATCCGGGGATCGCGGTCTGGCCCTTCGTGCTCTTCGGCTGCTTCCTCCTCAACGCGATTCTTTTGCTCGCGTTTCTTGTACGGCCTGGACTGCGCACCATTTCCAACAGGTTAGTGACCTATTTCGTATCGAGGTGGTGGGACTGTGTGTGTTGAAATAATCATTTTCTTGATTGTGAAAAATATTATCATCACACTAATGCCTGAACATTTTCATGTTATTTTGTTATATATTTTTCCTATTGTTTTATTTGCGTGATATTGGAGAAAGATGAGCGGTAACCCTAACAATAAGTCATTCTTTATGCATTGCTTGTATGACAAAAAAAAGGATATATGATAGACAACTAATACTCGTCGACGTATATAGTTGCGAAATTACCATTGCGTTATCACTGAGATAAGCGTTTTCTTGCCCAATTATGCGTGCGACGTAAAATTTTATATGCACGGGTTTTCGAAACTCGTTAACGCGACTCGTTGACGCACACGGCGATGAGTGCAATCTTTTTGCAGACGGTAACCACGAGACACGAGCGAGACATGAGCGAGTCTCAAATTCGCCAGCGTCGCGCCAAACCGGAAATAAAACGCACGCGCGACATGACTGGTGGAAATAATAATATATTTAGGCGTCGTCATACTCGCGTAACATTTATATTGAAACGTTCTGGTAATAAATAATAACGCCGTAGCAATAAATAATAACACCGTGCATGTCGTTTATTTCACACGTGTTGCGTTTGTGCCAAGGTTAATAACCCCATTGATAGTGACAACGTTTGCATTTTTTTCTGGTTGCCGGGTCGGTAGTCGAGTAAGCTTTGAGCCTTTGCGATAAATAAAACGAAATAGCGATAACATAATGTTGTAACAACTTAAAATACAACTTCGTCACTTGATCAAGGTTTCCGCGATTTGCGTTTCAATCGTCAACTCAACTGATATGTTAAATTTAAGAGAGAACGCTTCCTAATAAAAATTATGAATTATTTTTATCGGCTATAATTAAAATTTAATTACGGAAAATATCGCGTATCGTCGTTTATTTATCATTCAGAATTTTGCAGCGCATTGATGTACGATTCCGTTTGAAACGAAATACTTATTTTGGCAGTAGCAAAATTATTTTTGTTCACGCCCGCTTTCTACGTGTCCTTCTGCGGGGTGTACGAGGCGTATTTTCCATCATGCTCGTAAATAAAATCGTGTTTGAAGTCTCGTTTCTATAGATTCGTGTTCCTCGTGGGACACTGCCAGTTTAAATATTCCAGTTTATGATTTTGTCGTTGTGCGTATACGATGCGGTGCAATGCGGAAGGCAGAGATAAGTGCATTTTCGCGCAGTTTTCGTCGTTTCGCGTTGAGTCGTCATGCTGAAGTGACTCAAAGTTTATTTGTAGATAATATATAAATAACTATATACGAGAAAAAAAAATACAAAAACGACATACTTTGGTATGCATAAAATTTCGCAGATATTGGATTCGACATATTTATACATATTATATATTAAACCACAGTTACATTTCTATAAATTATATATTATGTCATATTTTTTGAACATTGTACAATTATACATAATATTCTTGTGCCAAGATGACCACTTGTCGTGGACTTGCAATCAGTGTTTATGCAATTCCGTTGATTGAAATTTAATCGAGCCGACACTCAATTACCTAACTTCCGCGAAATTAAACATTTGCAGTTAATATTAGTAAGATGTATTAATAGAATCGTGAAAATTGGTTATGAAGATTGGATCTATCATTGTTGTTACGTGTATTTTCACCTACGAGCCAGGAAATCAGTTACATACGCGTCGAATACTGAACTTTGGCAACTGCTACAACGAAGTGTAATAATAAACCTTCGTATTTCGAGAGTACATACAGTTGCTGTTACACAGTGCATTTGAAATTGTAACGGTTTATTGCCGCTGCGAAAAGAGGAAAATTCATTTATTATCGCGCGTCCGACGTTTTACAAAATAACACGAACGTTGTTTCGGGCCTATACTTAGATCAAAGGCGCAGTCCAGACGATCTTTCTTGTTTAGTTGACGAAATGGTTGAGCGAATCCGTCCGTCAAATTGTTGACAGCGCAAACAGATGAAACAAAACACTATGGGTTCTTTAAATGTCATCGATCTTGAGGAAATTTATTACACCGGCAAAAATCGCGAACATAATTCATTTGCGAAGAAAACATCAGAAAGTTCGATACGATTTATGCAATAATGCTCGCATTTTTTGTAATTATTAGAAATAATTATTTTACATAATAAGCATATAGTGAAGTATATAAATGATAAGCATAAAAAAAGATGTATTATAACAAGTAATTTATACAAAAAAAATTCCTGTACTCTTTTTTTTCTTTTTAATTCCTTGCATGCACTAGCTTTATATTTCTTTTCTTGCTTGCGTCATCTTTTGCCAACGAACTATGCACTAGCTCGTTTTTATGTAATAGCACGTCGCACTAATCTAAAAAAAATGGACGAATGTAAAAATAAGTTAATAACATTATAAAATATTTCTCTTCCTTCTCTTTCATCTTTTTTGTTGTGACTATCTCATTTTATAATTTTGTATGTGATGTTCAGAAGAGATCATAGTAAACTATTATTACTCACTCAGCTTATTCTAGAAGATTTTATCGATCACTCATCGATCATTCGCATTATTTGCACTGTAAGATAATCGCACAGGCTTCGAATACTTTCGACATTGTCGATTGAAGACGGCCCGCCTTGTATCAATTCCAGATTCGTGATGAACCTGACCATCTCGAATCTACTGACGTGCGTTGTGCTGAATCCGCTGCTGATGATGGACAGTCCAGCAGAGACTACGATGAGGGCAAACAACGCCGCGTCGTCGGTCAGCACAACCGCCAGCAATGTCTGCGCGATATCAGAAGGCGCTACCGCGCTCGTCACCACATCATCGGTATTGTCGGTCCTGTTGATCGCGATCGATCAGTACTACGCCGTGGTGGATCCGTTACGTTACCGCGCTCGGGTAGACAAACTCAAATCTGCCGTGCTGATCGTTTCTGTTTGGCTGGTCTCGGCGGCATTCAGCCTGATCGCCGCCTTGAATCCGAGTCCGCGCAGTTTATGGCTGTCCTGCACGACGTTGTCGTATAATTCGTCCTTCCGTGAACACGCCGCGCCGAATGTATCCTCGACAATGAGGGCGTCGAACAGTTCCGCGTTCGCGTTCCTCGACAACGAAACAACCGTGCAAGAAGAGATCGACGACGCGGCGGCGAGGTCGTGGTTCGAGAGGATAGACTCAATCGATAGCGACGTCGACTTCTTCGAAAACTCCACCGTGATGTCCCGTACGATAACCGACGACTTCATCACCTACGGGCTCGTTTACACGATCGTGCACAGCGTTCTCGCATACCTGCTGCCATTCGCCGGGATCTGCTGGATTTACATCAGTATCTACTCGGCCGCGCATCGCAACTCCGAGAGAACTCGCAGGACCGGTTCGCGGCCGATCCTCTCGTCGCCCAGCTTCTGCGAGGAGACATTCGGTTATACGAGACCGCAGCACCAGTACACCGACACGTTCCCCGAGGAGTTTCGTCGAATACCCAAGATCTCGAGTCTCTCGTCCATCGACGAGACGAGCGAGACCGCACACTCGGCGAATCAAACGTCGCGCCGAAGATCCTTCTCGTCAACCTCGGACGCCGTGCAATCAGGACCGAGCGAGGAGAAGACATCGTCAGGAGTCGTCTTCACGGTGGGCCTGCAGCCGGTAGAAGTCTCATCCGTGCGCGAGGAGAACAACGAAAATAATCCGACAGAGCCAGTAGGCCCGACGGCGAACTACCTCGAAAACGATCGCGACGTTTCGTCCTATGAAGATTTTGTCAGGAGTGAGTTTCACGAGTCCGGAATGAACTGTAGACGGAAATCCTCGCATGATCTAACAATCGAGGCCGGGACGTCCTGCGGATGGATATCCGCCGGAGACTCCAGCGATACCGAATCCGAGGACGAGCGACGCTACGGTTACTTCGACTCCTTGGAAGTTCCTAAAACTAATCGCAAGATTACAAACCGAAGATCCTCCGACTATTTCCTGCCAGTCGCCGACGAGTGCGATACGACGCAAGAGCCGCGCGATGACGTGGAAGCTTCCAGAGAAGATTCTTCCAAAGAAATGATTTGTCCCAATGACGAGGAGAAAAACTCTATTAAGACGACAACACAGGAACAAATTCAGAGTGACATCTCGAATTCCAGCGGCAATCTGGAGAATAAAAAATCGAGACGACCCAGTCGCCGTTTGTCGAGATCCAGCATTTTGGACGGAGAGCAGCATGCGCTCGGAAGACACTCGGAAAACGCCGGAAACCACAATAGCAATCTGGAATCTTCGTCTTGCCTGTTGACGCCGATCGTGACGATCACGCCGGCGCCCGGCAAGCCGGGTTCGGCTCTGCACCGGGTGGCGAGCATTCGCAGCACCAGCAGCTATATCAATTCACTCAAGCACAGGATCAGCAACGGCTCTCTGTTCAAGTACCGTGAGGAGACACGAGCGGCCAGAATCAGCGCGCTCGTGATCGTCATGGGTCTGATCTGCTGGTCGCCGTACGTGCTGCTAACTGTGATGAAGAACCTGCCGCAGTACTCGGACTACGAGTTTCCGCACCAGTACGACGTGCTGGCGCTCAGCTTTCTGATCCTGACCGCTTACGCGAGTCCGTTGCTCTTCGGCTACCGCTCCAAGCGGGTGAAGCGGGAGCTGCGCAAGTTCTTCTGCTTTCACCGCGAGCTCTCGTACAAGAACAACCGCAGCTTGATGGCGAAGAAGGTGCTGAAGCGCCGGCACAGCAGTACGCCAAGCCAGCTGGAAATGGACCATCGGTACAATATCTTCAACTGCGTCTACGGCAGGAGCAAGTGGCCGAAAGAGAAGGTCCAATTCGTTCAGGTACCGGACACCGCGCTCGCGGTAGAGACCTGTCGCAGTAGCTTCTCCAGCGGCGCCAGCACGCAGATCTCCAGCACGTCCACCGAAGAGTGTTGAATCGCGACGAGTCTCGCGAGATCGCGCGGAATATTATCCCGCGTCGGCATCGCGAGGGGACTAGTTCCTTGGAAGATCGATATAATTATGCGAGCGATAGAACGCGGCCGGTGTGAGAAGCAGCGTAAGCTGTTTCTGCGTTTATGCATGTGGCATGAGTTTGTCGATGGACTGCGCCTTCGAGCGATCGAGACAATAAGGAGAGATAAATGACGCGGGAGGACAGTTTGCAGTTTGTGTGTATTTTGATACGAATTTGCAAGTCGGCACATACTTTCGTAGCTCGTCGTTGTGTTTGGGCGTTCGATAGATGCATCGCTCCTTATTTTCTAACGTCGCGACATGAACGGGACAAGTGACGTGAATATTTGTTTCCTAAATTTTCGAAATGACTTGAATTGTCACGTCGATCGTTTCTTCCGACGATGCACTTTTTTTTATTTACATCGTAAGTCCGATTTGGCGGGATAAAAGTGCGTCGCGACTCGGCCGTCGGCATTGCAACCGCTTGTTTTGAAAGCGATGCGAGTTTACTAACTCAACGAGATGTCACCGTAAAGTGACTGAATAATACGTATCGGTGCCACCTTACACCGCAATCAAAATAAACCGGCTTGCTTTGCTGCGCTTCGGCGAACCGTGCGCAAAACACTCCCCCCCTCCGACCGAGTGCCCGTATTAGTATTAAGAGCATTATCATCGCGCTACGTCGTCGGGTGTTAGCCAGCTCGGAAAGTATTAGAGTTCGCCGAACCTGGAAGGAGAGGCTTTAGTCTTTACGCTTATTTACGCGCTGCGTCTACGTTTCCTTCCCCCTGCGTGACGTAATTGCCATCGCGCACGCAGGTGGATCAATCGGTGCGCTTTTAAGCGGCTATTTATTTGCAGAACGTCGCGCGCGAGATATCATCGTGCGGCTATATGTAGATATGTACACAGCATTTTCATGACAGAACCCTCGTCGGGCGGCGTCTTCGTATACCTCCGTTTAAGAAAATCGCTCCCGATCGATTATTATTTTTGTACATTACAAATCGACTCATTTATTTATATTAAATAATTTGTACATAGAAAGAGGATGGCGAATCTCATATTCTAGTTTGAATTCTCATATTCTATTCCATTTCTAGTTTGAATCCCGTACGTAGAATTGCTCGTATCCTGTGTGTAGAATTTCGTCCGTGTGTCCAAGTGGTATCCGTATGTGTAATATATAAATACGTATCATTTTACCGTTTTGTATTACTCGTCAAGGAACTCAACAGGCTGTCTATAACATGTGATAACACCAAAACCAATCGCCACTTAATATTAATTAATTTATGTGACTTTCTCAATAAAATATTTTTTTGCGAGATGGAATTGCAGGTGAGTCTGCGTGTGAATTAGTCTGTGACACCTGAACTAATCCGCTTCCTAATTAACACTCGCAATACGATACGTATTATTACAAACTTCTATTTTAAGAATACGATTTAAGAATTGTCAAAGTTTATCGAACTTTCCGTAAACTTTTTTATCATAAAGTTTTACGTAATACACGTGTGTACATAAACGTTTTGCAACATGCCGCAACTTAAACAAAACAATTCGTAATTCTTAATTATCGCAGCTGTTGTTTGATAAATTGCGATTTCGCAAATATCGACGCGAAGAACTTTAACCCATCGATGCTTGAAAAAAAAAGAAGATATATGCATATCTTTTTCCATTATTTTTCTAATATTTTTCTACTGTACAAAATTTTTTCCTTATCAATATTCTTACACTATTAATTTTTGTAGCAGGTAACAGTAATTTTTCGTAATCAATTTTTTAATGGCGTTAACACTTAAGCTACGCGACTTGTACCTAGCTCGAAGTACTATTTACAGATACTGTCTGGAACGACAGCTCTTTTCCGGCTCATAACCGAGAATGTTCGTAGATCGGCGGCCGCTCCGGAAATCGTGGCCACTCCAACGTTGGCAATTGGCCATCGTCGTTAGTAAATGTGCTATTGTCGTACACTGGCGGATCCACCTCGGTCGTTCCTACTTTCTCGGAACCGTCCATTAGGAACATAGTGAAAAAGAACAGAATGGAACCTAACAACAAAGCATCATGATACCATTACACGACGATACATTTTCTTCCGTAAACGATAAGTCGAAGAAGAAGCCTATTTGGCCGTTTATGTAGATGAATGATGATATAATGATTACATTAAAAGTTAATTCTATGAAAGTCAAATTCTATGAACATCAGAAGATAATTTTAAAAGAAAAGTTCAGAGTGAATCTTACAGAAAAAATGTTTATGAACAGCTTGGATGTAAAAAAAATGAAATGATAAATTATACAATCTATATTTATGAGAGTATTTATGAGATTATGCAAATGTATGAGAATGAATTTTCCACTTCTTTACTTACTGATGCCATAAAAGCCAGCGTAAAAAATATACAATGACTCTCGGAAACCAGTGACTATTCTGGTGGGCTCGACGAGTATTGGTAAGTTTCCGCCGATGTTATTCATGACGAATAAGAAAACGCCGATGGTGGTCGACCGTACATTTAGAGGAACTATTTCCACCACGACGGCGAACACTATTCCAAACCACATCTCGGCTGCGAATAAAGAAACATCAAAAATATTATTTTACATAAAATATTTATCAATATTGAATTGATCATGGATTGAATTGTTAAATTCGTCACTCTGTGTAACTTCACGTGCACAGAATTATTGATTCAACATACGATTTCGTGTCTTACCGAAGAAATACGAAATTCCTAGCGTGATCATGGCCCAGAGAGGAGTGAAGTATACCGAACCGAATGCGAACGGCGTCGCGATTATTTGGCTGATCGCCAAACACGCTACGCGCGACCGAATTCCCATTTTCGCCACAAACTTGTCGCTAATTATTCCGCCGGCCACGACCCCGATACTGCCGATGACGATCGTGACGGTGAAGAGCCACCAGCCGAGATCGTAATCCGGGAAATAGTCTCTGTAGTACAGATCGCAATTGTAGGCGAAGCACATTCCACCTAAAAGGAAAACAAAACGTTCCTGATTTAATTCTTCCTGCATAAATCACGCGCAATTGGAAAAACAGTTATTAGAAACAAACAATTGGAAGTGAATCATCAAGTCGTGAAGAAAGAAACAAACTTGCTCGTAAAAATTCTCAGACGACTGAAATAGTTCCTTCTCGCTTCGTAATAATTTGTATTTTTGAATTATACAAAATTTAGCTATTCAAAGCCGACTCATTTCCTTTGCAAATTAACGAGATAAAAATTCGCGCAGATTTTAATGATCAGAAAAAGTATTGAGAAAAGAGAGTGTCACGGCGAGACGAATTCGCCGGATTAGTACAAACTCGTAGACGCTAATATACCCTCGATTTGTATCTCAATCCTTTTGCGTCAAGGTATTGCCCTTTACCGCAATGTCTGATGCTGGCAGCGAGGCATAAAAGTATAATGCGTGGTTGCAGTATCACTTTCCAAATCGATACTTGCTTCTCGTCGGCCGACTCCTCGCCGATCGTCTCCTTTCCGGCTCGGTGAGCGTCAGACCGGTGAGCACGGCAACGATTAAGCCGATCACACCGGCTCCGTAATAACATATTCTCCAGCCCTGCCAATTAATTTATCCTCATTACATTAATTTATAATTACGCGTCTCTCAATTAAACTAGCATCTAATCTACAGTATCATTAATACAGTAGTTAATTACATTATTGTATTTTTCTGCATAGATTTAGTAGATATTTAATCCCACGAGTCTAGCAATTTTTTTATGCTATTGTCAGCGAAAAATTTCATTAATATTATCGAAGCAGTGTTGGAGTTTAATTCGTCACGTTCTTTGTTGTACTTTTCTTCCGCGCGGAAATTATTTCGGGATATAGATCGAGCAGTTATTTCCGGAACGTATCAGCTTCGAAATTCAATACGAAAAAAGCGGAGAAATAACACAAAAGAAGCAATGACGGAGTTAACCCACCAGATCCCAGGCGTTCAGCTTAGTAATGTAGCGGCCGACCGGAAAGGCGATGCCGTAACCGCCGTAAATGCCCCAATTGAAAATGGACATGACGAGGCCCCGTTGTTCTTCCGGGAACCAGTCGGATAGAAGACCGGTCACCATCGGATTGCATCCCGCCTCTCTGCAATATCCGTTCGGATTTTATTAATACGCGACGCAATCGAACGCGGGCCCATTGTCGCTCGTGAATAAAGGAACAAGCGGAAGCCGGAAGCACTATCATTATCCCTCAGAACTTACCCCGCCGCCAGGACCATTCGCAGAATGACGAGCTGCCAGTATTCCCACACCGCCCCGCTCAGGATGATCGCGACGCTGAATATTAGCGTGCAGATCGTCAACATCCTCACTCTGTAACAAACATTATGTATGCGAGACTGATAATTAGTTGAACTGATAATTAGTTAATTGATTAATCACCTGTTGTATTTGTCGGCCGCGAAACCCAAGATAACACCGACGATCGTGAAGACCGCGATGAAGCTCGGTCCCGCCAGGATTTGATAGTCCAGACCGAGGCCATTGTAATTCCATTCGCAGTAATAAGATCCGTTCAGTTCCAGGGATCGGCAGCTGCGGCACAAAGAGCGCGTTATGCGAAGACCAAGCGAAAGTGATATATGATGACGAACGCGATAATACAATAATCGCCGCGCGTGTAGCGGGAAGCTTTCGAGCCACGTGATTAATGCCCTTAGAATTACCATGCAAATCGAAATTCGTTTGGATGAAGAATTTTCTTGCTTTGTAAATCATGAGATTATTCGTGGCATTTGACTCAGCAGTCTCCCCCGGAATGTTAACGACGCTTCGATCAATCTGGAGGTGAAGTCGCGTGTCCTCTCGCGGCAGTATCCCGTTTCATTATCGACGCGTGACTTCGCGATATTAAGTCGCGCGGCGAATCAATCACCAACAAGGAAATCGAGTTACCTCTCGGACGAGGAAATACTGACTACTCGCTAATTACGCATACAGTTACGCGCGATTCATCCCGGCGACACGTCCCCAGCTGGCTTTTCTAGAGCAGGTGGTATTAGCTGGACTTACGAAGTGGAATTCTTTGCTGCTTCGCATTGTATCGGAAGGTCGACCAACGACAATGTCGTTGAATTAAATTGGCAGGAAATGTCGCCGTAATGCAGGTCCTCGGCGATCGCTTTGCTCGTTACGCCTTGCCGATGAAATTGGTGTCGTTAGTAAAATTAGATGCGTTGAAAACGCGATACATGAAAAAATAAGAAAAAAGTAATGGAATATAATTGCTAGACGTAATTGCTAAATATAATTACTATCATTATCAGAAGCTAATTAATGATCAAGATAAATCTTGATCTAACTTACCTATCAGATAATGACCTAATTCTCCCAGAACATAGCCAATTGATACAATAGCCAACGCATAAGGCTTGTAGAAAAGTGCCAATTTTTTCATTACCGAAGTGAGCATTTGACTCCTTACTTGATCTGAAAGATGTATATCTTGAGAAATAATTCCTTTTCCACCTATCAAGATTATCGTTGCAAAATTATACACCGCGAAGGATTATATAATTAACGTGTGATGGAAATTGTAATTGTCGCAATTGTTGGCAAACATATTAGCCATCGCGTAGACGACAGCAGTGTTTTTATCAGCGCGTTTGCATTATTTGAATAGATAATACGTGTATAGATAATACGCGCGCAAACCGTGAAGAATTTAATTACCAGATATTTACTTAAGATTAAAATATACAATGATATCTCCAAGCACATATTATATTTAGGAACTTTATATAAACTTCTATATATAAAATTCTAATTATAAATTTTCCTGAAACAAAATAATTAATCGTTTTCAGAAGGAAAAAAAGAAACGTGGCCTTTGGCCTAGATTCCTCGTTCGATCGTTCGTCAAAGGCTAATGTTTCATGAATATGAAAATTCCCTGTTTACATGTGAACGCGTGCGTTCACTGAAATGGGGCGAAAACGGACGCAAATCGCGATCGGAATGTGTTGTGAAATTTCATTAATCATGATCGATCAGACAGCATATTTTCATTTCAATATCCTGACCGAGTAGCGGTTACATGTCGGTCGGTACGGTACCGGTGATCGCTCAAGGTCTCCATCGGCGGTTTACGTGTAATGCAATTGCAAGAATGGTGTACCGCATCGACCCTAAAAGCGAATGACGCGAGTGCATTCTGCAAAGCACGTTTACTATAGCATCGGAAAGTCCGCAAATGGAGAGCGGTCTAATTAGATACAGATGTTGCGTTCCGTCTAAGGAATAATTGTTGTTCGAACAGGAAGACTGTTGATGACGCTGCAAAACGCAGATGCAGTTATTCATTTTTATTGTTAAATTTAGTTATCGAAAATATATACCAAACATATACGCGTAAAAGTAATTTATTAATTGACAATTTAATTTATAATATAAAGAATTATTGTAAATTAAATATTAAAGCAATGTTATTATTAGAGTAAAATTCGAATTTAAATTACAAAGCATATAAAGAATATGCAAGAGAATACGATACATATAATTAAATTATGTTATTAAATGTTAAATTATGCATTAAATTATGTTAATTACATTAGACTCTGTGTCGCACACACATTTTTACATCATCATAATACAATGAGAGAGTCAGATAAATTTTGATTAAAATTCAGTGTGAAATAAGCAAAGTAGACGATAACATATTCCCGCACGTGTCCCTGCTGGCACGCGTAATACGAAATTTCGCAGTCGTTATCATCATGATTTCGCGCGGTGTCGCGTTTCATCACGTACGAGTATCGTCTTCGAGCAAGGAGGAACAAATTCCGCGGGAATTGCGATTATACAGCAACGAACGGATAGAAAAGTCGGTATTCTTGTACACGCGCGAAAAGTTTAAGACGCGTATCTTATGCACTCGGCCGGATCACCTTGAACCAAAATCGTTGAGATGGAACGAAAATGATCATTTGCATATCATTAAAACCTGCTGCTTGTCAAATAGTGACTCGCTGTTTGCAGAGAAGGAAAACGCTCTTTAAGGTTTAATCGTACATCCACATTCCTTAATTTAAATTTCTTCTTGTGTAATTATTTCTTATTCCATTTTAATTTATTTGATGTATGAATTTATTTGATAAATGAGGTGAAGACGCGAAGCTGATGGAGCTAATCGGGAAGACAAATCGATTTCGAGCGAAGGTCGTTACGCTTCGGATGACAGAGCAATGAATGTCAGAAAATAATGGTATTTTTGAAGAAATGGCAATGAGATCGACGGAAGGGACCGTAAATTCTGAATAGTACGAACATTCTAAATACTTGAAATGCTTAAAGAATTCCACTATTGATTGATAGTTCGCTGATGAATTGGTTGCAAATGCCAAGGTGTAAACTTGGCAATGAGGAATCAAGCTGTGATAATAATAAAATATTTCCATGACAGCGAATTAATCTTTCCACGATAGTTTGAAAAAAACGTTCTATTGACGACAAAGTGCACTCGATGCATGGTTATAGCGATACACATCTGTAATTCAATTCGCTGTAATTATACGCGCGAGCGCTGCGCTGATACAATCAGCGATTTATAGGCTAACATAAGAACAGGCAAAATAAGCTTAGCTACCGTTTATCGGAATAGTCTGTCTATATCAATTTGGTGACATATAGCTAATTTATCTATTTGCTGAACTAATGTGAGTATGAAAAGAGTGCGACATAAGACACACAAGTCTGTCATTACGGCATCGTGCGATATGAAGTAATAAATATGAGAATCGCCGCATATTGTGATATATCTCGGTTGGGCCGGAAGTTATCAGACGAGAAGCATGGATGTGATTTATCTGAAACGCAAAGATCCTTGGTCGCAGTCGCACGAGATAGTTCATAGATAAAAACGTAAATAAGATCATAAGTACGAGTACATTGCGTAAAATTACGCGCTATAATTTTTCATTAAAATTCATAATTTTTCACGCGCAGCATTTTCGACATTTGCATACGAATAAAGTTGAGGAAAATATCATCAAACGAAGATTCTACGTCGCGAGATCGAATAATTTGCATATAAAAATTATCATCAATCGTTTTCTTTATTACATCATCAATATTTTACTCCGATTATCTATAAAAATATTAGAAAAATCGAAGATGATTTTGTACCACATGCCTCCTATATAATAATCTAAGCGAGAATTTCTGAATATTGTTTACCGACTGACGCGGATGTTGCAGAATTTTTTATTATTTTTTCTTTTCTAATTATACGAATCGTCGATGCGGTTAGGATAGCAATCTTGCAAAGTGTTTCTTTTTTTTTCTTTGACTCAACAAGTTAGCGCATATAAATACAATTAATCTCCATTCTGCGAAACTACCGCTCTTGCCGTCGCGCGCATTATCGCATTACACACATATCTGCGATCGGTTGTTGCGATACTCTCAGAGAACAGATAACGAACTCGTGCGTTTGTTACGAACATTTGAAACTGATTGTTGAGAAATACTTGTGCGATTGTGAAAACTTTAGCTAATAACTGCAACGCATTGCATCGCATGCCTCTGCCAATCGTAGATTTCATTTTCTTCTTTGAAACTCAAGTTTTTTAGTTCTTTTCATTAAACTCTTTAAGATAAAGTGGATCATGTATATACTTATAGTTGCCATCTACACTTCAGACTTTTTAAAGTTTTTCTTCCTCTACTCGTATTTTGCAAAGTCTCTTTTATTATATTTATTACAATATGTTAATGTTAAAAAAAATAGAAAAATAAATAAAAGTATAAAACAAAGTAATCAAATTTGACGTCTGATTTAGTACGTGGGCCAGAAACTTAGTTGTTTTCGAAGTTTATTATGAGGTGAGATTGATGGAAATAGAGACTTCAAAGATTCCTTCTTGTTTAACTTGTCCGGCTTTAATTAATTTTTTTTCTAAGAAAACTTCAAAGATTATACAGCAAAGTTGCGAATCAAGGGAAAAGAAATATACGGCGTTGTTCTAGCGTTAAAACAGCATCTATAATTTGCGACATAAAATATAACTCACATTTATATCTTATTACTCAGAACTTATTATTTCAAGTTGAGTTAACATTGATTTAAAAAATGGGGAATTTAACGGTTGGGAAAATGTTTGATTATAAATGACTATAAATGCGCGTTCTCAGAAACACGGAAACTCAGCAGATAAAAAATTTAACTATCGTCTGTAATATTCTATATAATCAAATAAATGGACAAGGACATGTAACTGAAAAATCTAAGTATTATATAATTTAAGATGCATTACTAACCTTGCTTGTTATTGAAAATTCAAATTTCAAGGTATAAATATTTATCGTGTTTTGTGCTTATGTATTACTAATAATTGGCATAAGAACAAAAAATCAGAGCGCGTCAATGCGAAATGGTACATGTATTCGAATAACACGTAAAATGCAAAATAGATGCAAATTACAAATAGCACGTGATAATTAAAATACGAATACGTAATTCGTACTTAAGTTGTATCGCTCACTCAAAAAAATGATCTTGCAATAATAGCTAAAATTTTCTAGGTGTAAAAAATTAACTAAAACAGATAAATGATTAGCAACTGTTGTGATATTGCATATGTAATTACTTAATCAGTTTAGATGACAGAAACAGAATATATATCTGTATTGTTTGTGAACTTTAAAAAGAAAGTTTCTCTAAAGCGCCTATCTATATAAGATCAATCACGTGTTAGATCATGCAATGAATAACATTTAGCAATGGTACCTAAATTTTTCAGAAGTTATTGCTAGAACACTACTGCTATAAATTCTATATGTGACAAACAATGTTTTCACAGATACGAAAAATAGCGATACATTCTTGTTGCGATATCTAGAAATCTAACTACATCAGCGAAATATTTTTTTGAGTGCTCAAGATATTTTTGTTCGTACTGATGGCGGTAATTAATTTATCTAAAAACTGCTGTAACGAAATGCAAAGACGTGATCAGTTTAGAAATTTGAAAAATTGCTCATGACGCGATTTTCGTAAGTATGTATTTTTACAGAAGGGGTTTAACTCGGCTGTCCCTTTCGATACGATATTTATATCGCCGAGAGAAGAGTTCGTGCGCGCCGATGTCGATCGATTAAATAAAAGCCATTCGGCCGCTTAAGCTGTCTCGTTTTTTCCGAGGGGAGCTTTCCGTATTTTCCGGCCGATCGGATTTAATGATTTTCTCCGGCGTCGCTCAAGAGATTCCGTGGGGCGACGAACAATTACTTATACAGGGTGCTCCACGAAGCATGCATCCGGGCATGCTCTTATAAAAGCCTGGAGACGACTTTTCTTCAATGAAAATTTGAGTGAACAAAGAAATATACAAGCTTAATCTTAGCGAACGGATGTCTTATATTTAAACATTTTCTAACATTCTGCTTTTGATGACGCATTCAAATTTTTCTATTTTTTTGTCAATGTATGGAAATAAAATTTAATTGCATAAAATATGCGTAATACGTAAATACGCGATTGCAATCGCAGAGAGAGATAAACTGACAGGAAAGAGTAGCAATGATAATAGCTGGCATTGTTGTAGGTGAATATCAATTAATAAACTATTTACAGCGTATCAGATGCTCGCACCTAATAAACATATATTACATAAATCTATTAAATTATCCACGCAGGAGTGCATCGTTGTTTACTCTGCATATGGCTGATTCATAAGTGCACATAATAAATACACGCATCGTAGATGTGATACTGAATGGATACGTGATGTATGTATATTAATCATATTTAGCTGATTAGTTACGAATGATTTACCAATATTCGCTATTATTGCATTTCACAAACATTTGTGAGAACGTTTTCGCTCGTCCACAGACGTGTATTTATTGCGCGAAATTAAAAATATACTTTTAAGCGCAACCGTAAGACTACAAAATTGACTTAAAGGCAACAAGAATAAGATAATAAAATAGATGTAAAAATACATATAACACATATAATTGAAATGCCGCGGAAATGTAAAAATAGTCAATAATGATTTGTGAGAAACACATCGCCGTTAATGTATGCGGGCGTGATCGAAGCGGTCGCGACAGGTTTTAATTAGAGACTTGCGTTAACTCGAAGGCTAAGCGGACGTTATGGGCGTATATTGTGCGTCGGCATCCCGGATTGGATGCGGATCTAACAGACCTCCATGTATGACACATTGCGAGCTACGCAAATAGTGCAAAACAGCGCGATTAAGATAATAATCACATTTGCACTAATTAATCACCGGGATCACCGACTGTATGATCGAAAGTGATTGCCATGAATAAAATCTACCATGATTGCGCGATTCGCCCACATATCACATGAAATTATGTCAATAGATTGAATAAATCGCATATTTATTAATCATTTGAACTTACGATTGGTCGATTAAAATCTTCCTATTTATGTCAAATTCCTCTTTCCGAAAGATACTCTTTCAATGAAAATAACAAATTTTTTATTAATGTTTCTCTTATTAAAAAAAATACATTTTTGCAGATGACGCGTGTTTATATAATCATGAAAATTTTATATTTTATAAATAACCTTACATATGCGGATTTATGTTTCTGCATTGACACTTTGCTAAGAGAGCCGTGTTTCATAAATAATACACAAGGCAACTGCGCGAATACTATTCGACATACGTATTGTATTACATGTACTTAGAGTTCTGCGTATTGTTTTTCCTTCGCACGTTCACTCGATACTTTCACTATGCGCTTTTTTCACATTCAGTCTTAATTATGCAAAATCCGGCTCATTGAACGTTATATAGGATGATCAATTGAAACTACCGCCTCTTGCTTCAGCTAAGAAGTGATTTTTCTTTAGTGGAAATTACACGTTAAATCTTGAAATTCAATGTTCTGTTAAAATTAACTTGAAGAAAATATGAAGTCTTGTTAAATTGATTTGATCGAAATGGTGAATATAAGATTGAAAGGAAAAATAATAAATAAATAATACTCTGTATCCCCCATACAATACAATCTCGCGAAGTAAAACAAAAACATTATTGCTGTTTATGTATGAAAATTCCTTTGGGAATACCTCGTCGATTTTGATTGTAATAAATTCTTCACTCGTCTCCTTCAATAAGTAATAACGCAAAAAGCAATTTACTTTAACAATTATTTTTTTCTTCACCTTTCATTTCTGACTTTATGAACATTTTTGGCGGAATCCGACAAATTCATGAGATTACTCACGTATTCCTCGGCGAAGTCCGCGAGATCGAGATCCTCGAAATCCGGGAAGGATCAGAAGGAAGCTCTCTACTCAGCACCGTGGAACGACGCGCGGGAATCCGTCGACGAGGGAGCCGGAGGAGAAAGAGGTAACAAGAGAACAGCAGAACGGAATGATCCCGCGGATCGATCCTTCCGCCTGCGGAGGGTGGAGCGTCAAATGAGGCACGAACCGGTGACCAACCTTCATTTATAAGAAAGTGTTCAAGGATCGAACCTTCCTTCCGTCAGCGGCGATCGAGCGAAGGAAGGGGACAGAAATACGCGAGATAGTGTGTACATACGTACAGTATGCTTCACCATAAGTGGGAGTTCACCACCACCACCGGCAATAATAGTTTGATACTCTCGATCTTCGATTTCAAGGTCGCGCTGCAACTTGACCGCTTGTACCTTATCCGTTACATCACAATCGTTCGTCACAATGCGGGAGAACAGAGAACAGAAGCGAGGCGGTAAGATACTACAACGCTTCGCCGCGGAAACGTAACAGAGAAGTCCTTCGAAGCGCCGGCCGCGAAGTCACGCGCGCTGGTAATCCAGCAGAAAGCATGTATCACGGGCTTTTATTCAGATAGTCGACACGGCTATATCTGAAGACACTTACGCGGAGAATGCGGACTCACCATATCGGAAAAATAATTATTAATACCATATAAAGTTTCAGAATGACACTCAAGGCATTCTAATATACTGTAGTAATTATCACTTAAACATCCAGCAGAAATGATTATTATTTTTAAATTATCGAATGATAATATTCATTGTTTAAGTGTGAATTCTCATTCTCAATAATTTATAAAGGAAATATGTTTGTGCGCACGTTTTATCATTATAAAATGATTTGTATTGACACCTGCTAAAATTATTTATGCAGAATAACGCTCACTCGCTCGCAATCGATTTTCACAGTATCGAGTGTGAAGTAAGGCGTGAATCGCGTGCGAAATAGTTCGGCCGCTAATTGAGCCCCGCTTGGGAAGACTTGGTTTCTGCCGACCGGTAGAGCACAATAAGCGACCCCCCCCGAGGTGATTAACCCCGCGGCTCGAAGAGCGGCTTGCACATACCCACGTATATACATGACATGCGATCGCCGTAACATTGACATACTTCCCTGCCTCTCGTGTGTCACGGCTGTTAAATGCGCCGCTATGCAATAATAAAAGGCGGTTCGACGTCTCTCCTTGAAAGGCAGGAGCATATGTTCTATTGTCGCGATCGCGATCGTTAATCGGAGAATGTGATCTTCGGGACAGACTAAATGGAACTAATCACATATTGCAATTATTCATCGCGCCGCTCCTTCGAGAACGTGTTTCCGTTGTCGCGTTCGATCTAAGAACTTGCAAGAAATTGTATACGTTTAGTTGAATGCAAAACACTTTGTTGACTTTAGTCTCACATAATCATGCTATTAAAATTAATAGCTATTATTTGACTCTAAATGAATATGGAAGTGAAAATGCGAAGGAATTTACGGTCTTATATGTGTGTACGTACCTTTCGTACAAATGTCGCATAAATTCACACTCTCCTACCGGATCTATTAATTTCGAGGTCGTAGAAGGGCGTCTACGCGGTCGAATACAGGCGCACAAAATTTTCCCTGTCAAGCGAAATGTGGCGAAAGCTTACATTAAAGTTGTGAAATATTTGAACCATTCAAATAAAGTTTCAAGGTGACAACGATAATTAAACCGGTCATCAATTCGTTCTAAACAATTGAATCCATAATAGAAATAATGGAAAAATATTGTTTAAAAATACTTTTTAAAAGCATTAAAAATTGATTTAATTATTTTTATTTTTTTGCCGCATTTTAAGTAGTGTGTGTTTTCTTTTCTTTGTCGATTCAATTAATTCTGCACTCTGCCGATATCACGAATCATTTTCAACTTCGCACACGATTCTCCCCCGTTATCGAACGTGTCAGCCACGCGTGACAGGCGCAACAATGCAATGTTACCGTCGACGACACTCACGATGAAATTGAAAGATGCAATTGCACGCCCGCGGCGCGTGCATAACCGTGGAAGGCCGCTGGATTCGCGAGCGAAACCTTCATATTCGCAAAAGCGCGGGTCATTAATGGCTGGGAGACACTGATTATGGATCTAATATCGTTCCCGTACGACCCCGACCTGATTTTTAACGAGCGACAGGGGATTTCGATGCCAATTAATCCGGAATCCTAGCGTTTTGTTTTCCAAACGGTACGTGTGTGTTACCGTTTAAATGCATTGATTGCGATTTAATTAAATGTATCTCCTTTATAATTCCTACAAATTTACTGTTATATTTTTTTCTTTCAACATGCGACTTTTTATCGAATTATTATACTTCTTTAAATTTATAAAAAGTGTGAAACATCGCGCGAACGCTGACAGTTATTTCGTCGAGAGAGAGAGAGAGAGAGAGATCAGCTCGGCGAATCGCGCAGCAGATCTCGCGACGATAATGGCATTCTTGATAATTAATCGATTAAGGATCGCGCAATGAGATTTTTCATACGCCCAGGTGAGATTCGGTGAGAATGCACTCTTTGAAGAGATTCGGAGGGAATTAAAGGAGCGCGCGTTCAGTACGCACTCTCGTTGTTATCGACCATCAAGAGAGGAGGCCAAGCCGAGCTGGCTCGAGCAGAACCGAGCGACACCGAATTGAACGGAGAGACGAGTCGCTCAGCGAGTCGTCCCTTCGTCGGCCCAGGACCTGGATCCTGTCGTGAGCGCGGATCGGTATTCCCTGAATCTCACCATCGATCTCGAGCAGCCGAGCGATCTCGAGAGACGCGGGTGAGAAGATCGTAGTCTTAGACGAAAGGATCTGAATTATGGATTGACACACTGTGTTTATTTCTTGAGGGAACATCAGAATTTTTCCTGACATTATTGACTGTCATGTGGGAAAACCGAAGAATTGTTAATTAAATTGATTAGAACAGAAGTCTCGCTCCTCGTGAAAAGATCGGCGATCGATCGTAAAACGTCAGTGTCCTGACGTATCCTTCGTACTTCACGATCTGACTGTGTCCTTCGTATTTTGTGATTCATCGTGTCAACGTTCCGCGCATTAATAATAGTCCTCGAAGTGACGATAACAATCGCGCGTGATTCATAGAAATTAGAATAACGCGATGCGTTAATTTTTATTTCAATTCCGTCGCCGCGCGACATCGCATTGCCTCCAGTAATCACTGACATTACACGGATACATCAGATTCGAGCTTAATTATTCACGCGCGGGATTGTGTCATTCCGCGTGCTGTTAACTATATTTCAATCTGAAACGCAGCGACGATTTCCAAACCGAGTGCGATCGCCGACATTCCGCGAGTGCATTATGCTTAACAGTTAATTTTAATTAAAACCCAAGTGACGCGCGAACTTCGGAATGCGAATAATCGCGATTCCCGACTCGCTATCGTTCTGCGAGTGCCGCGAGTGGAAATTCAACGTCGCGTGTCACCGATGCTTAAACGCGATGTACTCGATTTAAGTCGGCGAGCAACGTGCGAAATTTGCACGGCAAATGACAGCGACGAAGCCCGTCGTCATCGCGCGGAATGAGAACGACGATGATCGACTTCTCGGGCGGTGATCATGCCCCATGACGATCTATTGTGCGACAACCGGCTGAATTTCAGCAGCTCTTCGTCAGCGGAAAGCATGGTGCATGTCGATCCGCGGTGCAGCAGTGTAAACGCGAAAACGTAAGCTTTCCGCTCTCTTTTACGACTTTTCTTTCTTTACTACCGCTGCAGTTCTTTCGGTTTGTAAACCGTCTCCGATGATCTGGAACGTCCTCCGTCTAAATATACGAGATTCGAGCATATGTACGATGAACTGCTCCATCAACTCCGTTGTCTTCCACTCCTTCTTCAACCATCGCTGTTATTACTGTCATGTGTAACGCGTCGTGTGAAAAAATCAAATCCCGGTTTGCACGCGGTACCGTTTTCTCCTCGATCGAAGAGCCTGTGTCGAAATAATCGCATTGCGACACATAAATAGTAATAATTAATAGTAATAATTAATATAAATAATTTCGGCGAAAATAATTCTATTGCAATAATATGGACAATTTGTGATGCTAATTAAACTCGTATAATTATAAATTTTCAAGAATAATTATATTCGTTAATGTAAATTGTAATGGATTATTATGTATGCGAAATTGAATTTTGTGCTCTTTGTTTTTCAGTTAAATAACTCGACAATTGAACTTTAAATTATTTCCCTCGTGTAAAAATCAATTAAAATTAATTAGTTCGAAAACAAAATTTTATTATCTTCTTTGTATCAGTTATCGAGTTTTTTTTTCAGGGCTTTGATAGATATGAGTTTGCAGCATTTTTTTTTTTCATTCTCAGTCATTGTTGCGCGTTACTTGGGTCCGGCGGCGCAAACCCACGTAATTATCGGCAGCTTTAACGTTACGTGGGCCGACACGAGAATAATAGCCAAGGTCGGGAGCGCGAACAGTGCTGAAAAACGAAATATCGATTCAACACCGCGTCGCATCGGCCGCATTTTCCTCCGTGACGCTCGTTGTCGCAACGCCGCGAGATGCATCCAGCATCCACGCGACAGATATCGCATATAGAATGCAACTGCAGCGCGCGACCGTCGAGTTGTCAGGACTTCCAAAGTCTGGAGTTGTAAGGTCCCGTTGCCTCCCTGGAGAACGGGATGTATAAGCGATTCCTCATCCTTTATTTTATTCAACGCCAACGTCAATTATTTTTTCCGCTATATTTTTCAACTTTGTAACATTAATAATGATTTCGCTTGCTTGTATTGGATTTTATTACCGCGATGAGTTTGACTTTTCTTTGTGTTGTTTTTGTTTCTTTTTTTCTAATCTCCCCTCCTTTCAATCTCAGGATTCGCGGATTCCGCGAGCTCATTAGTCACACACCGCCGGAGTTTTACCTGTTAAAACCGGCTCGCCTTCAATTTACTAACTACACCCATCTAAGCTGCGTGTTTCTCGATAGATTCCACGTGCCGATTCCACCGTGAAGTCACACGCGGCATGCGGCGCGTCGAAGTTACGAAAGATGACGAGATAAGATCGGGAGATGAAAAAATCAATTGCGAATCGATTGAGCTCGACGCTCGTTATTTTTTGATCTCGAGAACTTTGCTCTCTAAAAGCTTTTCGTTGTTGAATTTCTCTCGATGGACTCACTTGAACGTTTTGTTCTCCGAGAGACGCACTCATAAGTGTCAACTCTCAAGTGCGCACTTGTATAAATCTCGCAGCTTTTCTGCGATTTCCTTGTTACGAAGTATCATAAATCGAGGACTTTTAATGAATTTTTAAGAATAAATCGCTCTATGATGTTTACTGCGCAATTTAATAATAATTTTTCTGCTTCTCGCGATCTTTTAATTGCCTTGAAATTGCACTATTTAAAAAATAACAACCAGTAGATTTCCGCGGATTATTCTCTCGATAAGAATCTCTCATCTAAAAGTCTAATCATTGTAATCAAAAATTCAATCATTAATTCCAACGTACATAAATCTGAAGTTACAAATTAGAATGTGGCGAGAGATAAATGTGTAAATCTGATTCTTCGTCTTCGATCGTCAATAAGATCGTCCGATAACAGGGACTGCTCACATCGCTTGGGGGCGTGCACCGCGAAGCAGGTGTGCTGAATTACAAGCTTGCGTTGCATAAGAAGTTAATAATCATTATATTTGCAGTGAGCACGTCGCTCGTGATCATTTTTTTTCTCTATTGAGTTAATTAAAATCACGAATGGCGCAATCGCGGACTCGTTTCGCAGTGTATTTGCATTAGTCTGCGTTTCCGGTTTTAAGTACCGATCATCAATTACCATTGATCACTGTGATTGGATTAAAACCATTCGACAAAGCAATGGCCAAGGTCACGTTCATTTATATTAACTGCCTATTCACTCGACAAGTTCTCGTTCAAGGTGCAGGTGACTGCTGGGATTTTTATCATTTACCGTTTTTTCTTCAATTCCGTAATTGACGCGAGTGCCGAGAATCGTCAATTGAATTATGCAAGACACGCAGGAATCTCGTCGCAACTTTGTTAGCTAGCGGCGTACGAAGCATAATACTTCATCCTGAGGCAACTGAGTTTAACATAATCGTCAAAAGTTAGGCTTTCTGAAGATTCCAAACATATCCAAATGAAGTATCCAAATAACAGTAGATTTTGAATTTATATTTCTTGCTTTCTAAAATGCTTCAGATAAAATAAACTTAAATTCGGATATCTTAAATCGTAAAAAAAACTTCATCTTGTAGATACAATTTATCTAATACGAACACAAGTATTATAAATCTTATCCACATTGTTGCGTTTGGTATAGAGTTTAATCTTTTTTATGTAGGTGACTAACTCGTGGATGAGGAAAACGTCGATTGTGACGGCGGCTACTCGATCGTAATGAGATCGAGCGAGGAATTCGATCACGCGTGAAAAGCTAACACAATAAAGCGACAACGGCGGGGTGGGAACAATGGGGTCGTTGCCGAATCTACACGAGCTGTCCAAGGACAAGCTGGAGAGCCCATTGTACAAACCGGCGCCGATCGGCGGTCTTGGTCCGATACGATTACCGCCGCAACCTCCGCCGTTGGCGCACACGCATAGGCGTTCGAGAAGCAGCGGGCATCATCATTCTACCTTGTGCGACAATGATGCCATGTTGGAGGTACAAATCGACCGTTGAGACTTTAATTTAACTGATCTTAAAATATGTGACATTATCATTTTTAAACTATTTTTACAATAGTTAAACTTATTTTATATTCTATTTTATATTCGATGTTTGTGGATTGCTAGGACTATCAGATTCCAAACCGGAGTCTGATTCCTGCTTCGACATCGCGCTTACTTAGGATAAAATCTAAATGTAAATCAAAGTCTGAAGAGAAAAACGTTGAGAAAAGTTTCAAACAGATGTCAAGATCATAAAATCACAACCAATAATATACGAGGAAAGGTTAAAGAGTAAAGGGATTTTTTCAAAGAGTTTCACTCCCTAAATGTCTCTTTACTTTTTGACTCTCCTTCCACACGCACTGTTTTTATCATTATTTTTTTTTCGTCGCAGATGATATCATCGCCATTATATCAGTGTTTTTAGACGTCGTCGATCACGTCAAGTCACGCAGAAGATTGAAAAAAATTTTCTCTCCTCGCTCATCTCATTCTCTCGTTTCGCAGCACATGGCAGCGTACTCGCCGATCTCCTGTCGGTCGACGCGCACCTCGGCGCTGTCGTGGCGACGTCGCGACTCCATGAACTCGTCGGCGGGCGCGTCGTCGGTGCGCCGGCTGATCGCGGCGGTCCGTGCGGCCCCGTCCGGACCGCGACCACCGCGTAAAGCCGTACTTCGTCACATCGCAGCTCTACTGCTCGGCCACGCGAGCTGCTCGGCCGCCACGCTGCCCATCTTTCCGCTCCAAGCGGGCCTGGGCGCGTTCGAACCTCATCTGGGTCCGGTACTTTTGGCTCAACTCTACATGATGGCAGCCGTCACCAGCTGCTTCGCGCCCATCGTCATACAGCGGCTCGGCACGAATCTCGCGATCACTGCGAGCCACCTCGTCACCGCTATCTTCGTCGGCGTGCATCTCTATCCCAAGTGGTACGATTCCAATGCATGGATGCCGTCGCGTTTCAATAGAAAAAAGTCCCAAGAATTATTTTATTAATCCACGATCTTGAACGCTCCTGTCTTTCGCACGCGATCGTATTCATAAAATTTTCTTTCACGTCTTCAACGTGAAATTATACGTTTGATACAGGTGTGGGTATGTGTATTACCGATTACTTTGAGCGTTCTCCATATACCGCCTCGAGCTTACGAAAGTGAGATTTCCCTTTATTACGTTCTACGTTCTTTAACGTCGCCGTTTTATTCTGGTCCCGTGTCAGAAAAATCTTTCTCTCCACGGAGGCTGTATTTATTGGCTCATAAAAAAAGATCGGCGAAAGCGGCGAGCGAAGACGCGCGGCCTCTATCTCTCTCGTCTCTTTCTCTCTGTCTCTTTCACTCCGGCGCGATACGAAAATAGACGCTATTATCACAAAGCGAGCTGTCACGAAAGTTAACACGCGCGCTCTTCCGCATCGCCAGGTACATACTCGCGCCCAGCTACGCGATGCTGGGTTGCTGCGCCAGCTCGAGCTTCCTGGCGAGGACGTCGCACGTCAACGTATCCGCGACCAGCCTGGCGCTCGTCTGCACCGATCCCGAGGACCCCGATGAGACTCGGCGCGAGTGCTACCTGAGAAGGCTCAATCGAGCAATCAAACTGACCGAGGACTTCGGCCTCGCACTCGGTATATTGGCCAATATCTTCTTCGCTCCCTTTCTTAATATCACAAATTTATTCATGAGATTCAGAAGCACGTGTATATTATTTACAAAAGTGTTAAAATCATAACTGTAATTAAAAACATTTCTGCTTAATTAATTTTGCCAAAATAAATAAGAGAGTAACTCGTTTTGCCGGAATTTTATTCATTTTTATATTTTTCTAAATAAAATTTTTATTAGGTAAATAACAAAGTTTGTGGGCTTTGCTGAATAATAAACTTCATGAAAAACCGCACAAACTTTGTTGATTATCTGATCTCGTTTATTATATTAATTGATATTGAAGCTCAGATCTAATCAATCTCAGATCTAAGCTCAGATTAATGTATTGTTGGTCGACGTTGCAGGTTGCGGTATCGCATGGATTCTCGTCAGGCTAACAGACTTGATACCATCTAGTATAATAACAGCGGGGACATAGGGGACATTTGCGGGGCTGAGTACTGCTCAGAGGAGACGTACTTCTACAACGAATCGATGTATCTGCCGATGATCGCGTCGGGCACGTCGAGAGTGCTCGTCAGCATCTGGCTCGGTCTGGCAGTACTCGGTCTAGGCATATCCTGCGCATTCCTCGACTCCAGGATGCAGGAACCGCAGGCGAGCCATGACCGCACCAGCGTCAAGGATATCCTCAAGTCCGTGAAATGCGCGTTTCAGGACCCGAAGCTTCAACTCGCGGCGCCGCTCACGCTCTTCATCGGGCTGGAACAGGGTTTTATCTACGCCGACTTTGTCGAGGTAAACGATAATAATACTTTAACACTTTATTGTTTGTTTTATTTAATAATAAATCTAACAAATATTAACACAGTTATGATTATGTGTTTAAATATAATTTAATAAATTAAAAATCTTTTTTTTAATTTTAAAAGATATTAAACTATATCATGTTTTATATATTTTTGGAGATATTTTATTTGGAGATCATTTTTATTTGAAGAAGACTCTCCATCTTCTCCCTTCGAGACGTTAACAAAATCCCACGGACTTATCTTTCGTCTCGTGATCCTTCGTTCATATATTTCTTGAAAAAATATTTTCTCAAACGCACGTGCGCGCAAAGAGGGGTGACTCTGTAAATTTCCTTAAACCGGCTATAATTAGCGTCGAGTATTTTTTTTTAAATCACGAGACTATAATTAGGATTTTGTTTTTTACAGGCGTACGTGGTGTGCGCCTTGGGCGGCGCCAGCACGGTCACCTTTAGTTTCCTCAGCTTGGCCATGTTGCAAGCTCTCGCCGCCGTGACGCTCTCGATGCTGCTGAGGCACATTAAGAGATATTTTGTCGTGGGTAAGTGATTTCTTATATATTATAATCAATAATAAATACTCGGATTTAAGTAAATCGTCGGATTTAAATAAATCTAAAAAAATTAAATAAATAGATAATACTCTAGAGCGCGAGGCTAAACATTATTCAAGATATAAAATACATAAATAAACTAAATAAATGCAACGAAAATGGACTTTATAATAATACAGTGAGAAAAATAAACGAAGAAAACATTACATTAATTTACAATTAGATACATAAACATATTAAAATAATTCTGGTCTGACTCTGTCAATTTGGATTTGTCAATCGCGGATTAAAAATAGAGAAAAAATTCTGTCCTTTATTCCAGTTGTGGGTTTCGCTTTCCACGCGTGTCTCCTGCTCGTCTTGGTCACTTGGAGACCAACGGGAGACGACCCGGCTCTCTTTCACGTCATATCAGCTGCCTGGGGAGTTTGTAACTCTATCTGGGAGACTCTGACGTACAGTAAGTACCTTTGATCTATATGTGAAGCGACTTTGTTCAAAGATAGCTCGCAAACCGCCGGATTGCCGGCTCTTAGAAACTTCGCGTCTATATTGCGACTAAGCCAGATTAGAGTTTCGAAGGTAATCCGCAGGTTTGTCAACTGCGCCTGTATCTTGTTAAAACGCGGCGCCATTCGCCAGTTGTGCATACAACACAAATCGCTCGGGTGTTATTGAGCAAGCAAAATGAGACGTTTTCGTCTTGTAATCATGAGAAATGAAACAAATGGAGATAATTAATATTTTAATTTGCAATGAAATACTTCTCGTTTAAAGTGTAATAAATAAAAAATGTGGTTGCAAATAAATCGGTAAGACGAGAGGACAAACACATACGCTTTTTTACATAAAAGCAACAATTCTCTCAAGATGCGGACGCGAATGGAACGACTTTGATTTTTCAGCCCTGGTAATGAGCCTGTATCCGAACGCGTGGCAAGGGCCGCTGTCGACGTCGCTCTTCTGGCGTTGGCTCGGTTTGACCCTGGCGCTGAGCCTGCATGGCGCAGTGTGCACCCGTTATCGCGTGCTGGGCCTCGCCACGACCTTGGTGCTGGCGGTGGTGCCGTACCTGTGGCTGGAGAACCGTCTGGCGCGCCGCGGCAAAACGCTGGCGCCCTTATGACCAGGCGACTCGACCGCGAGCGAGCGCGGGTCCACCAGCGTCGAGACGGCGACGGCGACAGAAGTCAGACACCGGGGTGACTGAGAACGAGCCGTTCCATCCGGCAGAACGTCGTCGGGGTTCCTGCGACGCGGCAGTCGCAGGAGCAGCGGCCTGACAACGGGACAGCAGCTGCCGGAGCAGCCGGCGCCGGCCGCGACGTCGATCAAGGGCAAGACGCGACGCAGGGCGAACAGCGTCGCGTTCGCCTGCCGCACCGATTACGGCCTGCCCGACGACAGCGACGACAGCAGCCCGCCGAAGAATCCGCTGCTCCTCATCGCGGAGCCGGAGCGTCGCAGAAGCGCCACTAGCACCATCGTCGAAAGCACGAAGGAGCGGGATCGCGCCACCCCCACGGTCTTCACGCTCTCGTGAGGAAGGCGTCTTCTCGCGAGCGCGCTTCTCAAGCGTCGCTGTGCCCTCGATAGACGACGCGTCGCATGGTAATCGCGAGTGCGGTGCTCCAGCGCCATGCGCTGGATAATGCGCTGAGAAGGGAAGAAAAAAAAGCGAAAGCGGTGCTTTCAAGCGCGTTGCCGATGTTCTTCCGGTCGACTTCAACGCTCCAAGACTGCACCCTTGACGCACCGCGAGAGAAATCTTTCCGAGCGTGTGCTTGCGGTCCGAAGATTTGCGTTCCGCCGCGGGACCGTATAATCCGGAATCCGATAGTCTACATTGCCAATATCCAGCGCATCTTCGTGCGAGCGCGAGGTATTGCAGCTATCGCAGTGTACTATTTAGCACTCGACTCGGGAGAGAGTCCTCTCTCTCTCTTTCTCTCTTTCGCTCCCTTTTCGCGAATTTGGAGCGAGGACGGCGACGATCGATGGGCATGCCGCGACGGATGCTTTAAAGCTCTCTCCAGGCGCGTTTAAACCGCGATTAATGAGGATAGCGCCTCTCAAAGCTGGATGGAACGGCTGCGTATACGGACATTTATATACGTACACGAGAATACACACATACACATATACACCCTTTCCCGCTACGGTGCGATCGATGCACACGACTGAATAGCGGTGAAATGACACGCGGGGATACACACATACGTACATAAATCTACATATATCGTATTCTAGTATCGAGCGTACCGTTTTGTATCACTCGAACGAATCGTCGTTTGACGTAACGCAACGTCGAAATGTACCTGATGTCTTTCAAGCCAAGCTATGCATAAAGTATAAACGGAATCGCCCCGTGCGAGACACCCGATATATATATATATATATACATATACATATACACACATATACATACCCTTCTATCTATCGTAGCTGCTCGTATATGCGCCTTGCAGGGCGTATCGATTTTTTGAGCGAACGACTCTTGTCATTTCATATACCGATCGTACTCGAAATAGCGCAGATGACGGATTCGGCTTCGAAGTCGAAAGTAAATCGACAGATCTAGAATGAATCTAGACGTAAAATTATAAGCGCTGTTAACGATTTCAATATCACGACAATTCAGGTAAGATTTTTTATGATAACACTCGTCGCCGACGAGGGTCGCGTACGAGGGGGAGAATCAACCCTCCCTCATAGAAAAGCGAGAGCAACCCCCCGGGTAATATTCCGCAGATAAGAGGAGCGAGGGTGCATTGTTCGCGCGTAATTCCGGTGAGTAGCGAAATGATCGTCCGTTTCAAGACGTTTTAGAAAACTCGCATGGGCGATGACACGGCGATCGTCCGCCGGATTGCGGACGTTAGTTGACGTTTGTTTTGTTACGGATCTTAGTCTAAGCAAGCGAAACACTGTAATCGCATAAAGTTTAAGGGAGATTAATAAGTGTTATCACGTTTAATGTTACAAGTGTAGGCGGATCGAACGATAAATTAGGACGAGGCAACATATCACTGACGTACAACATTGCCTGGCGGAAACGGAGCCTGGTTTCCATCTGCTTCCTCTTGACGGGGACGTACATTGTCTGTACGACGAATATACAACCGTATTGTAGCGTACCGTGAATATGCGGTGAAAGCGCATTGATGGAAGTAACTTTTTGCGCCGTCATAAAAAACAAAATTTGTATTCTTTCAAGCCTGAAAAGAAATAATTTGTAAGTTTTAATGGCAATTTTTCTCGTTTCACAGACCATTGCTTGCATTTTTCTTATCTATTTAGCTTTACATAACACATAATCAAACCTGAAATCGTAAAATATTAATGAACACATTTATTATTTAAATATATTTAAATGAATGATAAATTGATTATGAAATATTATTAAATATGCATATATAGATTTTCAAGAGACAAAAAAAGTTGCTTTCTTTGATGCAAACTTATCCCATTTCACGGTACAGTTTTTTTATGCGCCTCACGTGTTTTCCGATGTTCGGGTTAATCGTATTACGCTTGATCGAGAATAAGAATCGCAGGACGACGATAAAGTAAAAAAAAAAATGCGCGAAGTCTCGTGAAAAGAAGAAAAAAAAACTGCTAGGACACAAAAAACGCTCACAAGCGCAACTGTATTTACTCAGCAATAAACTTGCTCACTTCCAGTCGAGAATCGCGGGTGATTGTCCGCGAGGCAGAAAAGGCAAAAGAGAAGAAGGAAACTGAATACATTCCATGTCCTAGTGAAATGCGGAGTAAGAAATATATCGTCGGTGACGTTGAGGAAAGGCATATATTATCTGTATTTCATGAAATAATAAATATTATCTTATTTTATATCGACTGACGTTTTAATGCACTTTCAACGTGTTGCAACGGCAACGCGCAAAATTGCCGTTTCGAAGAAATCTTCGATGGGTTTCCGCCCACCCATAAGTAAACGACCCCGAGGAAAAGCAAACACGCTCCACTGTCCCTCCAAATCGCATACTTTTTTATTTTCTATTTTTTTTTTTAATTTTTGAAATTTACTTTCATCATAGAGATCGTTGATATTCATTTGTGTTTTGTACTTTGTAAAATAATACACTAAAAGCTAGTCGCCGTGGGATTTATGGCAGATTTTGCCGATCTTCCTCGAACGTTCGTAGCGAACGTTAATTGACGATACATATCAAGTTTTAACGGCCCATTGGAACTAGAAACTAATTAACAATAAGCGCTAATGACCGATTAAATAAAAGAAAACTCGTACAAGCGACCATCAAGGAAAATGAGATGAAGAGGAAGAAGATCGGTGAAATCGTCGACTGCAGTTCTTAGCGTAAAACTATAGAAAAATTCGACTAAAAGGAATTGCCGCTGGAACGCTTTGGCAATAAAACTCCGAAAACACCCGTCAGAACACTCGGAAGTTTCGCGACGGCTCTCTTCACTTGATCTGCGTAAACGCCCCTCATCCTCAGGACACACCAGTCTCGCGCTTTACTCTCTCCGAACTTCCATCGAGTGACATAAATGCAAGTGACAGGACTCATATACCTATTATATATCTATCTATATATATACGTCAACATTGTCTATCTAAATTATTGTCAACATCTTACGTCGAGATCGCGAGTAGAAGTTCGTGTTCGCGTAACGGAGCACGAGTGCAAAGCACAAGTGGCCCTAATAAAGCCCTAGACGTTCAACGGAATTATATATAACGTTTAGAATCATTTACACACACACACATACACCCACGCACGCTCGTCCAGCACACCACATAGACACATGGAAACACTTAGCTATTAGCCCGTGTAACTTGTAACAATGCCCCTTTATTTATTTCTTCATCGATCATGTTTCTCTTTTTTTTTTCCAACACTTGCTATTAACACATGGTTCACAGAGAGATTTCCAGACTCGTTCTCGCTTACTTTCTTCCCTTTCCTCCTCCCTTCTCAAACGATCAGTGTCACACACGCAATGCGTCTCTACGAAGCGAGTAAATACACAAACGCGATACTTCATTTAGATTGTTACAATTATATTATAAATGTAGGCTACATACACACTTTGAACGGAAACACTCTCGCATAACGCATATAGCAAAAAAAAGACAAATAGGAGATCACAAACGACTGTACTCGCGTACACATCGCCCGAAAAACAAGACGACGCGTCGAGTATGACAATCTATGAGCTCGGTATATTAAAAACGGAGAAAATAATAATACTTGATCTGAAAAGTATAATATAGCGAATCGTCTATCGCGAATATCAGAGAAATACTGGCCTAAGAATATCTACGCAATCCCTTTTGGAAACGCTTGTATAACCCGATAGGCTAAATTTAACTGCTGTTGATTGTGTGATCGTCATTTCCGAAGTTGCGAAGTTCCGAATTACAGCTTTGTATAGATCGGAGAATAATGCTTAATTATATGAAATATCAGACCGAACAATTCTTCCTTTTATCAATTAGATCATATCGCTTAATATCACAATTCTTTTTTCTTTTCGCTATAAATTTTCTCATAACGGATATAAAAAGAATTCGTTAATACTTAAAACCCTTATTCGGCATGAGTTTATTGTTTTTTTAATCGGTTCTCCTTTAACTTTTTTCCTTGAAAAAAAAATAAGGATGCAGAAATCGTACACATTTTACGTACACGACGAGCTTGCGATGTTCTTTGACAGTGCCGTTGTGCTCGGTTTTCTTATTGATTATTCTGCAATGCAATTTTAGGCTGAAGCGAAGTGAGGCTAATATATATCGCATGTTTATGCGATATATTTGTAATATTAATAATTATTACATA